AATTACATTTATATAATATTATTTATTACCTACATATGGGGCAATCCATGCCAAATCACCGAGGTTTTGACCCGACCCCCTTCGATTTCGCTGAAACTTTTTTATCATTTTCTATCCTACCAAAGACATTTTTCTGAATTTTTTCAGATTTTTTTACCCGACCCAAAAAAAGTTACGAATTTTTGAAAAAAACCGCTCTTTTTTTTTAAATTGCAATAACTTTTTCACAAATTGACCTTTCGGCACGTTTTTTTTTTTTGAAATTTTTGTTTTTAAATGTAGTTTTCAGAAAAAAATACAAACAATTTTTCGGAAGTCACGATATATGAAATATTTTTTCGAATTCTGAAACCTTCGATTCTCAATTTTTTTGTCTCAAAAAAAACTTCAACTAAGACAGTATTTAACCCCACTATTCCCATTTTGTGCCGACTTTCCATTCTATTGTTTTTTTTTTCGATTGAAAATAAAGAAATTTCTCAATTTGGCTTATATTTTATGACTTTGCGTTGAGGTTTTTTTTATTGTTTTTAAAAGCTCAGAAGTTGAATAAAATTGGATAAAAACAACCGTAAATTTTTTATTAGGGTATTGTTTTTACATCGTTAAAAATCTAAATATTTTAATTATTTTCCTCGGTTTAGCGATTGTTTTCTTGAATTCTTAACCGTACAATGTACGTAAACGTAAACTCTTTTTAAGAAACAAAATAGTCTAATTCACAGTTTAAAAAAATATCAAAACATTAGTTTATAAAAAGTGTTATTTTTTAAAAAATTCACATTTTTATTATTTTACCACCTCTTTTAAATAAAAAAAAACAACGAAACGTCAAGTATACCTACTTTAAAAAACATATATTTGAATGTGATTATAATCGTCTTTCTTTATAATTTAATAACACAAATTCATTCTTTAACACAAGTTCATTACCATCAGTCACTGAACATCCACCATAACCTTTCGTACTTTCTTTATGTTTTTTTATTACCATAACCTTCCGTACCTTCTTTAATGCAAGTTCATTCTTTAACATAAGTTCATTCCTTAAGACACAACATTGTACGGTTAAGAATTCAAGAAAACAATCGCTAAACCGAGGAAAATAATTAAAATATTTAGATTTTTAACGATGTAAAAACAATACTTGAGAATCGAAGGTTTCAGAATTCGAAAAAATGACGGTTTTATTGAAAAAACTGAAATATTTCATATATCGTGACTTCCGAAAAATTGTTTGTATTTTTTTCTGAAAACTACATTTAAAAACAAAAATTTCAAAAAAAAAAACGTGCCGAAAGGTCAATTTGTGAAAAAGTTATTGCAATTTAAAAAAAAAGAGCGGTTTTTTTTCAAAAATTCGTAACTTTTTTTGGGGTCGGGTAAAAAAATCTGAAAAAATTCAGAAAAATGTCTTTGGTAGGATAGAAAATGATAAAAAAGTTTCAGCGAAATCGAAGGGGGTCGGGTCAAAACCTCGGTGATTTGGCATGGATTGCCCCATATATATTAAACAATCTACGTCACTGCATTCGCTAAAAAAATTGTCAACACAAATAACCACAATTCAAATTTGACATTAACACACTACAATGCGCATGCGGAGTTGTTTTAATGCACCTACAAGAGTGTGTTAAATATGTAAAATCGATGTCTAGACACCGCTGTTGTAATAAACGTTTTGAGATAAATCCGAGTGAATCGAGTAAATGTCATGAACGCAACCCAGAAATAAAAAAAATCTTATATTTTGTAAAGCAAAAACACAGATACGCGCGCGACATAGGCTTAAAATCGCGAGGTTTTTTACCACAACCGTGCCTGAGCGCCCAAGAACATGTAGTTTTAAAGAGCCGGGGGCGAGTTGGGGCAGATAATTTATTGATGGCTTGGTAGACAAAACTTTAAGCTATTCAACGGATCTTGAACTGATACCTTAAAATCCATTACAATTTTTGTAGCTCCATTGTTCTAAAAGCTCGATTCAAAGTTTGCGATTTTAACAGACCGATCTTGTCGGTTACAATAACCCATTGTACAAGCAAAATCTACAAAAAACAAATACATATCTGAATTTTACATACCTTGAAGATCACCCTTTATCAAACCGCATAACAATCGGACACACGAAACACAAGTTATTCACTTTTAAACAATAAACAATTTTCCGCAGCGATTGGGTGTAAAGTACCTTCAACTGAAAGCGTCAAGTTTAAACTGATGTACAAGACTTCTTCTTCTTCTTCCTTGGTGGCCAAAGGCCTTAATGGTCTCGGTTTCAATGTACCACTTTGACCAGAAGCAAGTTTTAACGTCTGTGCGTTTCACGAAGCCATCCACCCATAGACACGTGAATTTTCCAATCTTGGAACATCCACTAATTCTTTTGTACAAATCGCAAAATACCTCGCTAAAAGGTCAAAGCCTGCGATATTGTTTAAAAAATACAGGTATATTTCTATACCCGGAATCCAATTTTGTCCATCCTGGGTCAAAGTCAGCTATGTTTCATACTTTTTCATCGAGCGATTGCCCAGAGCGATGCACTACACACGAAAGACAAAATCGAACTGGGATGTACAAGACAAAATATATATATAAATTTTTTTCAATACAGGATGGAGGTAGGTATTAACTACCCATCTAACTCAAAATTTACCTGAAAAAAATGTCAATTTTTTAGGTTTTGCCGATATTTTCGAGAATTGAAACACTGTGCGCCGCCTAATATTACAAAGAATTCCGCCGTATTAAGCTGGATAAAAACAAGTGTTTGTATTCTACTAAAGCATAGAAATAAAACAATAAAATTTTATTTTGCATGCAAATAAAAAAGTAAAACATTTTGGTGACAGGGGTGTTTTGGGGACAACACCCTAAATTTCGAAAAAAAAAAATCAAATAATTCTTTAACGCACAGTTACTGTAGTTAAGTTAAATAAAAAGTTTTTAATTTTAATATACCTACCATTCACAAACAAAATATAATTTTAAGTATTTGTGTTTAGTGACTGTCATAGTTTTTCTCTATATTGTTTTTGTTGGGCTTAAAAGGCCTAGAAGTAATAGTATACTAACAAGTAACAAGTTCGGAATACGGCTTATTCTGCTCAAGTGAAAAGTTTCTCACACGAGCCGAAGGCGAGTTTGAAGGTTTCACGAGAGCGGAATATGCAATTCCAAACGTGTTTCAGACTTTACTTTTTCTATGTTTCCAAAAATACTTAAACTTTCTAATTCTTAACAGTTTATTTTTTTTCTTTATTTGCTAATTTATTTTTTCCTTTAATAGCCACTCAACAAAATTTGGGCTAGAATTCGCCAAAGATTGAGCAAATAATGGTCAATATTTTAAATACAAATTAGTAATTATATAGTAAAATTATTGTGTAATTAATAATTAATAATAATAAACGTCTTTATTGAAATAAGAAATTACACTAATTCAATAAAACATTAACATTGTAGTAATTTATTCATACATTCAACAATCTTTAAATATTTTATATATTTAAATTGTTTTTGGTACCAAATAAAATGAGTGGAAATACATTATTTATATGAATATTATTTAATTATAAAACCATTAATCTTGAAATTTCTTATATCTTTTAACCTACAATTTTTACAAAAAATGTATTTCAATCGTTTACAAAAAGTAAAAATAATTCAAATTTGGTGTTTCCGACAAGAGGTCCTTTTTCCGCATCACAAGTGAAAAATTTCTTGTTGAAAAACATTCTAAACTAAAAAAATTTCGAAATTATAAAAAAACGTTCCCATTTTTTGAACAAAAATTTATCAGTATTCTCCTCCTATAATAGTACAATAATCTAACAGGTTGAAAAGCGCTTATTAAAAAAAAAATATATTTATTTATTTATAAAAGCCGAGCTCAGCGTTATTTTTTTCAAGCGTTTAATAATTCTATACTTACATTAAAATTCTCGAGTTTGCTACATTTTGTCATAAGTTTGACGTTTTACATGACATATTATGTAATATGGGTTATGTGTAGGTTGGGACAGTTGAAATTTTCAAATGAAAATTTCAACTTTGAAAGTTTCAAACTTGAAATATTTCATTTAGTTGGAAAAGTGAAATTTTTAAAAATTTCAAATAAAATTTTCAATCCAAAAATTTCAACATTGCCTGAAACTTTCAGAAATTTCATTGACAATTTACTTTACTTTACTTATATGCATAAATTAATTTAAATAATTTAATTCAGTTACCAATTTAATTTGTAAATTAATTCAGACTTAAAATTTTTTTAAAAGTCATGATTACTTTTTACTTTTACTTTTGTTATAATTGCATCGGAAAACGGATAAAAAATGCCTTTGGCTCATAAAATTTTGATGAAGTTTCTTTAATTTTCGTAAAATTTCAGTAATATATATAAAAATATAAAACAATGAAAGTGGCACAATCTCATTAGCTTACCAAAAAGTGCTATATCTCTCAGTTTTAGTAATTTTAAAAATATTTTAAAAGGAAATCTCAAGAAATTTGTGGTAAACATAGGTATTTACTATTTATATTATTGGTGCAGGGGCCCACAGAGGGGTAAGAGGTAAGAGAGGCAATTGGCCATGGTCCCCGAGTGGGCTTATTTCAATACTAATATATTACACTTAAAGTGATTGAAATTTATTGAAAGATTCAATAAATTTCAGAAATTTAGGAAATTTTAATAAATTTCATAAATGTCATAAAAATTTCAAGTGAAATTTCAAGTACAAGCAAAAATTGAAATTTTCCCAACCCTATGTGTATGAATTTATTCTATATGCACTGATTTCAAGCTAAATGCTATACAAATTTTAATGCATTTTCATTATTGTACGCGTACGTATACGGCAGTCTATAATAGTTTGACTTTTGAAGTGCGTACGAAAATAAAGTCTTTCTATATAGGCTTATATTAAAATTGTTATACGCTTGAATAAAAAACATATTTTTTAGTGAATAATAAATAATAAAATTGTTCTTTTCAGAACATTCTTCAAGCTCTTAGAAGAGCCACTTCAAATCGTACTAGCATAGTCATAGCACATAGGCTAAGTACGATAATGGACGCAGACGAAATTATTGTATTAGAAAACGGAAGAGTATCCGAGACCGGTACACACGAACTTCTACTAAGAGATTCAAATTCCTTATATTATAAATTGTGGTGTACTCAAAATATTAAAGCATTTCCAACAGAAAAATAATAATAATTTTTACTATCAAGTTCAAAATTAGTGTACAATTAATTAATTAAGTGTATTAAAGTGTACATTTCATGAAGAGAGGAATATTTTTATAAAATACTTCTACACTGTGTTATTTGTTTATATGTAATGTATACCTTTATAACAGTTATAGCTGTGTCAAATTATTATTTATTTATTTGCTAGGTTTTATTTTTTGATCTGTTGATTTGTCATTAATTTATAAACATTATCTACATGATACCTTATTTGGGTACAATAACAGTTACTGTGTTATTATTAAAATAAATGTAAATTAAAACAAATAAATAGTTTTTATAAATTTAACCTTATTAACATTAAACACATAATATTCCATATCAATTCATCTACACCCCATGCCCTAATTCCCAAAGGAAATTAAACATCGATTTTTTCGCCTATTATGCTTGGTACAGGAATGTCAATTTAAACATTAAAATCCCCTAACTCGACCTAATGAATCGGTTGCCAAGACAACACAAGTGACATTTATATACAAACATCATGATCCTGCAGTGCAGGACTTTTTAAATACTTTTTTTACATGCGTTTTACACTTGAACTAGAAGAATGACCAGTGTTGCGAGTTCGGTGTCGATAAATAAAACTGGAGAAAACAGGTACAAATCTTTAATAATGTAGATTATTTGGAAATAACGTAAAAATTTTAGTAGGAGCAAGAGTTGTGATACGGTATGCTCAAGTTCCAGTTGTTTTTTCAAAAGAAGAAAACCGATTCTACCTTACAATATAAGACCACCTCCTCCTTCAAGATCCACTGGAAATATTGTTAGGCAAAGAGTTTTGTCAGCAAAGATACAAAAAGTTAGATCTTTACAGAGTCAGCTTAATGATGCTAATTTTCATCTTGCTGTAAGTTAATGAATATTTGCCGTATACAGGTTTTAAAGAGTAGTTTTAGGAATTGGCAAAAGAAAATCAAGCTTTAATGAATTTGCAAAAAAGGCAAGATAAGGCTTTGTCAAGGTAAGATGGCTAATTTGGTTTAAGGAAAAACTACTAGAGATATTGAACACCTTGCAATTGTACTATTTTTAATTGGTCATACATATTATGTAAACTTCGTTTTTTAATAGATTTTTAGTATTAATATAGCCTGACGAACTAAATACTATACTATAATTATAATTTAGGGTTGAAAAATAATGCGTCATTATTTATCTTATTATTTTTGGTGTTGCTAAGTACGTTTTAAAAATAGATAAATAATTAAGATATTTTTTCGACCATAAATCTATTAATTAAATATATGAATTAGAATGTTTTGGATAAAAAAATGTTGTTTTCGAGATATCGCGAAAACAAGCTTATTAAACAACCTAATTTGTTTTCATTAAATATTAACAAATTTAAGGAACTAAATTTTATTAACATTTATTATACATATGGGCAGACAAAAATTTCCTTAATGAATTATATACCCAAATTTGGGTATAATTTTAAATATGTTTAAGTAAAAGTTTGGGAAAAGCCCTTGGTATTAAATTGTGTATTTTATAAATTTATTATAAATCACCGGACAAAACTAAAGCTTTCGATCCCTAGGGATCGATTCCTTGCGAAAATCCAAGACAAAATTTCCTTTACCATTTTTTTAAATTTGCAAAATTGCAGGAGTTATTTAATTTTTAAAGCCGCCTGGGAGCGCATTATTTCTGCTCTATAGGACAAACCCCGTCTTTTGACTCAGCGCTTGCGATAAAACGCACCGATTTTAACAATGATGAATATTAGCGTCTTTTGCAAATATAAAAAAAAACACTCGTCCGATAGAGCAGAAACACTACGCTTTTATTGGTGGCTTTAAAATCGAAATAACTCGTGCAATTTTGGGAATATATAAAAAAATTAAAAAAACTTTCGTCTTAAATTTTCGCAAAGAATCGAACCCTTTAGTTTGGTCCAGTGATTGTGGGACACACTGTATAAACAGGTTTATTTTTAATTTTATTTAAAAAATGTTTTTTTAAAGAATTGGGAAGCATTAATTTTCTTTTTTTATTCATTGCCTGTACTAAGATAAATAATAAAATTATTATCTCAAGTACTGTACTAATAGCGTTGACATACGCGCTCCGCCAGATATCTCGAGAATTTTTTATGGAATTGTATATTCTGCAAGTTTCATAGAAACCTCTAAAAACGTTTTTCATAACTTATTAAAATTCATTATTATTTGAGGTATGAAAATTCTAATGCTGATCTTCCGCGTTTACTCCACAAACACGAAGAAGAGATAAGAAACCTTATGGAAAAAAACAAAATCCTAAGAAAATCCTTAAAAGAAACCTCAACAACACTAAAATTAAAAGATGAAGAGCTAACGAAAGCAAAAGAACAATTGTTTCATTTAGAGACTCTAAATAAAGACAAGCGGTTGATTGAACGCGAGAAATTGTGTGAAAAAGTTGATGATCTTCAGTTTAAACTGACGAAATCTGAAGAGCAAGTTGCGCAGATAAATCGAAGACTGATGCTGGAGACTAAGAATTCGAAACATCGACTAAATGCCGAGATTGTAAAGAACAAACAAAATCAAAAGGAAATCGCTCGGGCCATGGCGGAAATAGATAGACTAACAAATTTATTGGAGGTAAGAAAACGCCTTTTGTTTATTTTATATTAATACTATATCATATATGGATAGCGGTTATCGAAAAGAAACCAAGCGCCAAAAACTTTTTCTTGGGTAAACAAAATTATTTGCAAAATAACTGATGCTCAAAAAATTAATAATGATTTGGGAACCTCCTCCAGTTCCAAATGATGAGCATTATTAAATATAAATTATTTCACAAATAATTTTACTAAGCCAAGAAAAAGTTTTTGGCGTTTGGTTCCTTTTCAATAAGCGTTATCCATATGGTCTTCTATAATTGAATCGGCGAGATTAAGAACAGTACAAATCTAAACATTTTATTTTGAAAAATCATTTTCTAAAGTCAATTTAAAAGTTTTAAATGCATTTTTGTGAAAAGATAACATTTTACAAAATATAATTATTATATTTTATAAAATAGTTAAAATATTCTAACAAAAATGCATTTAATTTGTCAAAATTTTAACTTTTGGACTTGTACTGTTCTTAATCTCACTAATTCAGTTGTCTTTAACGATAATTGTAAAAAAAATTCGAATTTCCGCACTGTTTTTAAAATTGATGTACGCAATAATCCGATGACATTTTTTTGACAGTTAACAATTGTAAAAAAAATTTAATATGAAAATATAAAAAAATCGTTTTATTTCTTATAAAAATTTCAATAATTTCAATTATTTATACCTTCTAGGCATACCATTGCAGTGAAATTTGTATAAAATGTACTCTGCCTTCTAATTTTTCTGTTCCAAAAAGAAAAAAATAGTATATTGTTTACCGAGCGTGGAATCATAGCAATTACTCCCGATAATGAAAGTTTCCGAGCGAGCCGATAGGCGAGTGAGAAATTCATTAAGGGAGTAATTGCGATTCCACGCGAGGCAAACACTATATATACTTTTTTGTCGAGTGGTGCTAATTATTAAATAATTTTTAAAAAATTAAAAAAGTAACGTTTAATTAAAAACTGGCGTTTACATTCCTAAAGTCGTTTCAATTAAGTTAGTACCATGATACTACTTATGTAGTATCATGGTTAGGACGCTTATCTAATTCAAGTTATTTAAGCTAAACACTATAAATGCTCACTTTCGCTTAAAAATACACAATTTGGTTCCCCTCAAAAAAACTTAAAATTATATAAATCTGATTTTTAATTTAATTCTGTCGTTTACATTCAAAGTCAATTACACTGTAGCGTCGTCATGTTAGCGGGAGGGCATGGAACATTTCGGCCATTTCAAGCGGATGGACGGGACAAATCACAAAACTGTTTTTATAAAAAAAATTTTAGCTAATTTATTATATATTAATTTTGCATCAAAATTGACAAAAAAATTCTTCTATTATAAGGGTATACATTAAATAAAAAAAAACCTCAAGAAATATTTTATAAAAGTAGAGATAATTTCAATAATTGACAGGGATGGACGGGACAAGATAAATCTTTTTTTTGTCCCGTCCACACCTTTCAATTATTAAAATTATATCTACTTTCATAAAATATTTCTTGAGTTTTTTTTATTTAATGTATAACCTAATAAAAGAAGAATATTTTTGCCAATTTTGATGCCAAAATATTATATAATAAATAATCTACAATTTTTTTTATAAAAACAGTTTTGTAATTCGTGTGTTTCGCGCGCTTGAAATGGCCGATTTCTTACCTGATTAGAGCGAAGTAATAAAAATATATACCACTCGACAAAAAAATGTCATCCCTACAATGTCGGTATCGCATTATATATACCGCCGCGCATCGTGGCGATACCGACTTTTAGAGTAGGGATGACAATTTTTTATTGTAACAGAAAATAATTAGGCCAAGTATGTTTTATAAAATTTTCACTACAATGGTAGGCCTAAAAGGTATATATCATTGAATTTGTTTAAATAATTCTCATTCAAAACCAAATTTTTCTGTTAATATTATTTTTAAAATATATTCATCCTAAAGAGAAATCATGTTTTAACTGTCAAAAAAATGTATCTAATTATTGCAAACGAGTTACGAGTTTTAGTTTTTTAATGTCAATAATAAAAACGGTGCGGAATTTTGAAAAATGACGTATTTTTTGTTTAGATATTATCTACGGATTTTTACAACTATTGTTCAAATCAATAAAAATTACTTCGTCCTATCTGCTTTTGTCTATGATATATTAATTATGTCTTTAAATTATTAAAAGTCACCATAGTCCCAATCCCTAAAACTGGAGCCAATGTAATACTAAGATAAGGCAGAAAAATTAATTGTAGATCAGCTGGAACTTTTTGTATATTTATTTACACAATGCATAATTTAAATCGATTTTGGTAATATTTTTTTTTAGACCAGGGAAATTTCCCCCTCAAAGAGACACCAAAGATTTTCCAGAATGCCAAATAGACAGTCGATGTCTTTGGTGTGCCTAGATAACAACAGCATGGACAAGCCGAATCGTCACGATATTAAAGCTCCAGTAAGCGAGGTGAGATTGGAACCAATTGCGAATAAAATAATCGAAGAAGCTGATAAACCGAGTTTTATGATGACCATACCATCGGAAAATATTAAGAGTAGATTATCCAGCGGATCAGGAAGAAAGAAATCTTTGGAAAAGTTAACTAATGGCGAGTCTGTTAAAGATGAAATAACAAAGAAGTTAACAGATTTTAATAAAGACATTGATGGATTTAGAAAGTTTAGTAAAGATACTGTTAGAAAGTTAACTGAAGAATTAGAAGAACTGGAATATAATAAAGAGGAAGTGAACAGTGATGAGGATATAGAAAATATGGCCAAGAAACATAAAGAAAAATATAAATCATTAAAAGACGAAATTGATATAATAAAAACTAGCAAAAAAGAGTTAAATAATGTGGAAGATAAAGATAAAGATCACCAAGAAAATAGTTTACTACAATCCAAACGCAGTGAAGATGCCATGGGAAACCTTATTGATAAATTGTCAAATAAAAATAGTCAAGAGGGTAATTTATCGCCCGAAGATGATACTGAAAGTATCGATTCAGATATATCCACGGATAAAAAACTATCAAAAATTGCTAAAACCTTGGACCAAGCAATACAGAAAACAGTTGAAAACAATAGAGGAGAATTTGACAGAAAATTGGGCGAATATTGTTCAACTGTTATTAACGATGTGAAAAAATGTGACACCAAAATAAAAACTCACAAAACCAGCATTAAAATGTACAAAGAAGACACTGACAAACTCTTGGATAGCTTTAATGAAGCTAAAAGCATGGAGGCTAACCTTCAAAAGTCAGTATTGGGAAATGCGAGTGATTTTGATTTCTTAAATATTTTTAATGAGACGGCTTTAGAAAGCAGTGATAAAAATGGGATGAATAAGAATAAAATAAACAATAATGTTATGAAGGCTCAACCAAAAGTCAGTGTCCAGGACAAGGATAAATTATTGGCTACATTGAGGGCTATTGATAATGGAGACACTTTAGAAAGAGTGGGCAATTTGACCAGGTCTACAGCTCTGATGGGTGAACTATTTGGGGACGTGTCTGAAGTATAAGATTATTGTATATTGTTATTTATATCCTAATAAATATTACTTTATATTTGTTTAAAATGGTTTTATTGATTGAAACACAGTTTTGCTGTAACAACATCTATTTATTGAATAATATTGACTACAATACGATTGCGTTAATCGTGCAACATTAAATATATCATCATTTAATATAGCAAAAATAGTCTTAAAACAGACATAACAAAATATTAGAGTAGCTGTATAAAAATAACAATAAACATAATTGCTACCAAAAACAAAAATATAAAATATATACAACTCCAAAGATTTTTCAACCTAAGTACCATTTGCATTCGGCAATAAATTATTTAAAACACTTAATAACAGGTATTTAAACATCAACTTTCCTATCATATAAACAATGGTTTTTTGCTTAATATGGATGCAATTCAAAAATATTTTTAGACTTTATTACATATTTTCTATAAAACATCTCCAAAAATTCCATATGGCATTTTCTAATTTTTTCTTAACAATCACATGAAATAAGTTATTGTCTTTTTAACTAAGGCTACATCAACTCGATTCAATACATATTTATTTAGTTAATGCAAAATCAAAGAACCCAATTAAGGATGGATATGTTGCTTTTAAGTGTACTTCATATTAGATATCATCATAACATACATACATAAACATATGAATCTGCAACATAACAATAAAAGGTTTTGATTTTTCTATAACGGGCATTTTAATTGTACGGTGTTGGCAATTCAAACTGGACAAGGAATGGGTTGCACAGAAGGCTGTATAATACCGCCAGGTCCTGGAAGAGAAGTGTTGCCCTTGTTCAGGAACTCGTCCACCTTTCTAGCCGCCTGTCTTCCTTCGGAAATTGCCCAGACCACAAGAGATTGACCACGACGACAATCTTAGGAAAAATAATGTTAATTATCTTTTCTTATTTTGTTGGTTAAAATATTTACTTACCGCCAGCAGCAAAAACGTTGGATAAGTTGGTTTGGTATTCTTTGGTATTGAAGTTCGATCTGGCATCAAGCGTAAGTTCCAGTTGGTCTCCAATGGCCCTTTCGGGTCCAAGGAAGCCCATGGCGAGTAGAACCAGATCAGCAGGGAACACCTTTTCGGTTCCAGGCACTTGGTTCATCTGCCATCTGCCGGCGTCATCTTTCGTCCATTCCACGTTGACTGTCTTGACTCCGCTCACGTGACCTTTACCATCGTCCAAAAACTCCTGCGTCATGACACTAAAGACTCTCGGATCGCCTCCAAAGCGGACCTTGACTTCCTCGTGCCCGTAGTCGACGCGGAAGATCCTGGGCCATTGCGGCCACGGGTTGTCCTGTGTACGTTTTGGTCCCGGTTCCGGCAGTATTTCGAAGGTTGTGATGGACGAAGCGCCGTGTCTCAACGAAGTTGCTATACAATCACAGCCTGTGTCTCCTCCTCCAATAATTATCACATTTTTGTCTTTGGCGTGCGGACCGTCGTTGTTGCCTCCCAGCTGCTTCTTCTGCCATCCCTCTAAGAACTCCATGGCAAAGTGAATGCCGCCCAGTTGTCTACCGGGTAGCGGCAAGTCTCTAGGCCAAGTAGCCCCAGTGCAAAGTACCACAGCATCGTACTCTTCGCTTAATTCTTTAGCGGAAATATCCTTACCCACGTTTACGTTGGTTTTGAATTCAATACCTTCCGCAGCCAAGAGGTCAACGCGTCTTTGTACTACACTCTTACTAAGTTTCATGGTGGGAATACCATATTGCAACAATCCACCGATTCTATCGTTTCTCTCGAATACGACAACGTTGTGTCCAGCTTTGTTGAGTTGAGCTGCGCAAGCCAAACCGGCTGGTCCTGAACCGACAACGGCTACACGCTTACCCGTACGAAGAGGAGGTAATTGCGGTACGATCCAGCCATTCTCAAAGGCGTGGTCAATTATGGCACACTCAATATTCTTAATGGTAACGGCTGGTTCAGAAATGCCCAATACGCATGCAGCCTCGCAAGGGGCTGGACATACTCTACCTGTAAACTCAGGGAAGTTGTTGGTTTGTAGCAAGTGGTGCAAAGCTTGTCTCCACTGATTCTGGAAGATCAATAAGTTCCATTTGGGAATAATGTTACCCAATGGGCATCCATGTGAATTGGACTGGCAAAATGGCACACCACACTCCATGCATCTTGCAGCCTGCACTCTCAAACCTTTGCGAACATGACCAAAATTATAGATTTCATCCCAGTCTTTCATACGTTTCTCAGCTGGTCTGTACATTCCGGTTTCTCTTTGGTATTTCATAAATCCTTTGGTTTTATCTAATGCTCTTTCGGCCTTCTTTTGCTCCTGAGATACATCACCCACAGTGTCCTCAATATCTTGAATCTTTGATTCATTGTTGGCAACAACAGGTGTCTCGACAGTCTTTTGTTTCAAAGCTTTCTGGTATTCATAGGGGAATACTTTAACAAACTCCCTCATCTTAGTGTCAAAGTTTTTAAAAAGTTCTTCCGCAACAACACTACCAGTTAAATCAATAAACTCCTTCAACAATTGCTTAACAAGCAAAACATCTTCTTTATCCTCCAACTTGCAAAGCTCTACCATTTCAGGATTGCATTTGGTGGAAAACTTACCATCGATATCCCAGACGTACGCGATACCCCCAGACATACCGGCAGCAAAGTTACGGCCAGTCAAACCCAAGATAAGCACCACTCCCCCGGTCATGTATTCACAGCCATGGTCTCCAACGCCCTCTACAACGGCTATAGCACCAGAATTTCTAACAGCAAAACGCTCAGAGGCTATTCCTCTCATGTAAGCCCTACCGGACGTGGCTCCGTATAGGCAAACGTTACCCACAATTACGTTCAAGTGGGACTCAAAGGGGGAGCATTTTGGAGGATAAATCACGATTTGACCGCCTGATAAACCTTTACCGACGTAATCGTTAGCATCTCCTTCCAATGTAACAGACACACCCTTAGCCAAAAAGGCGCAGAAACTCTGACCAGCAGAACCTGTTAGTTTGATGGTGATTTTGCGGTCATCGGGCAGACCATCTTCGTTATATTTACTGTAAAAATTGTATAAATATTACTTTTAAAAATTTATTTATTAACTTACCAAGAAATGTGGTAGCTTAAAGTAGAAGCAAAAGCTCTGCATTCGTTATGGATCTTCAACTCCATATCAACAGTTTTCTGCGTTCCTTCAATAACAGCCTTAGCTTTTTCAATCACCGTATTATCTAATCTTTGTTCCAACAAGAAATCTTGTGACTCAGAACCACCCTTAATGTTAACTCCTGGACGCATATGCAATGCATTTTGCAGAATTAAATTCAAGTTCAACATCCTAGCTTTCGGTGTTCCAGTTTCAATAACTTTAAGTAGATCCGTACGACCAATAAGTTCTTGGTAGGTTTTTATACCAAGTTTGGACATGTGACCTCTAACTTCCTCGGCAAGCATAAACATGTAGTTAATAACGTGTTCTGGTTGTCCGGTAAATTTCTTACGCAATATAGGATCTTGCGTTGCAATACCAACCGGACAAGTATTCAAGTGACATTTGCGCATCATGGTGCAGCCCATTACAATCAATGGAGCGGTACTGAAACCGATTTCATCCGCTCCCAAAATAGCGGCCACAACCACATCGAAGCCTGTTCTTATTTGACCATCAGCTTGTAAGACAATTCTGGATCTTAAGTTGTTCAAAGTTAATACTTGATGGGTTTCGGCGATTCCAAGTTCCCACGGTAAACCGGCGTTCTTAATACCGGTCCAGGAACTGGCTCCGGTACCGCCATCATGGCCAGAGACGACAATGTGTTCTGCCTTGCCTTTAGCAACTCCCGAGGCCACTACACCGACACCAACTTCCGACACGAGCTTTACTGAAATTCTTGCTTTCGGATTGGCGCATTTTAAATCGTATATCAGCTCTGCTAAATCTTCAATAGAGTAGATATCGTGATGAGGTGGTGGAGAAATTAGACCTACACCAGCTACAGAATGACGAGTTTTGGCGATATCAGGGGTTACTTTATACCTGCAATGAAATACAATTAAAATAATATAATTTTTATTTGAACTTTTTATTCTTACCCTGGTAGCTCTCCTCCTTCTCCCGGTTTTGCACCCTGAGCCATTTTAATTTGCAGATCATCAGCGTGAGCCAAATAGGACGAAGTTACACCAAAACGACCAGAAGCAACCTGTTTAATTGCCGAACGTTTATCGCTATCCAAGTAACGTTCAGGGTCTTCTCCGCCCTCACCTGTATTGCTTTTACCTCCAACTTTATTCATAGCTTGCGCCAAAGTTTGATGCGCCTCCAAGCTAATAGAACCAAAACTCATAGCACCAGTGACAAACCTCTTTACAATCTCGGTAGCAGGTTCCACTTCATCCAATGGCAATGGCTGATCTAATGTTCTTAAATCCAATCGTCCTCTTAGCATGCAATTTCTTACAGATTCCATTGTGGATTCTCTAAACTTCTCGTATGCGCCTTGGTTCTTATTCACGGCTGACTCCTGAAGAGCAGCAATACTTGCAGGTTCGTTAAGATGTTTTTCTCCACCGGCCCTCCAGTGATAGTTTCCGTTATCGCGGAGAATTAAATTATCAACAGACAGTCTGAAGGCATTTTGATGTCGCTCTAGGGCCTCGGCTGCCATAAGCTCTAAGGTAACACCACCAAGTCTTGATGGGGTTCCTTTAAAGCATTTATCGACTAAATCTTCAGCTAGACCAACAGCTTCGAATATCTGTGCAGCTTTGTAAGATTGCAAGGTAGAAATACCCATTTTAGCCATTACTTTGTTGATACCCGTCTGCATTGCTTGAGCGTAATTCTGGAAAATCACCTCATCGGTAAGGGAGGTATCCAAAATACCTTGGTCGCGTAAACTTGAAGCCAACTCCAAAGCCAAATATGGGCATATAGCATCGGCTCCATAACCTAACAATACGCAGATATGGTGAACCTCACGGGCTTCTGCAGTTTCCAACACCAAAGCAACCTTAGCGCGGTTCCTAGTTTCAATTAAGTGGTGGTGAGTTGCACCCAACGCCAACAGACTACTTATAGGAACTCTATCTTGACCGCCCTTTCTGTCAGACAAGATGATAATTTGTTTGTTTTCACTGGCTTTTTCTGCCTCCTCGCAAATCGATTGCAACTTATTGATGTAACCAGCAGTACCCATAGATGCAGGAAAACTGACATCAATAATATGTGAGCTCCATTCTCTGTGTGAGGTCTGTTTTAGAACGTCCAAATCAGCGATGGAAATTACGGGGTTTTTAAGCCAAAGTCTGTGGACTTGTTTGGGGCTTGGTTGAAGAATATTGGCCTCAGGACCGATTGGGCAGTGAAGAGACATTACCACCTTTTCTCTGAAAGGATCAATCGGTGGGTTGGTTACTTGGGCAAATAGTTGTTTAAAGTATTCATAGGGAAGTGGAGCAAAGCTTGAGAGACAAGCTAAGGGGACGTCGTTACCCATACTACCTAAAGCCTCTTTCCTATTAAAGAAAAATATGTTATATCAATTCTATAAAGTATATGGTTTCTTACTTATTGTTGATCATTGGTAAAAGAAGCATATGGATGGTTTCTGTGGAATATCCATATAAAGGTAATCTTTTGTCGACCAATCCACTTGGTTCATATTTTGGTTTTGGTGCTCTACCAGCGTCCAAATGGGCTTTTCGTAATTCGTCCATGGTGATCTAGTATTAAAAAAATATATAATTATTATCAGGTTATGAAGCTGTTTTATAAAACCAAAACTTTCACACACATTTGGGTATCTATTTGTAGTATTTGTGGATTGTCAGGGGAAATTATAGGAAAGACTATAAAGTGGGATTTTTCTACATTGTTAGTGCTACTAAAATATCTACTGTAGAACCAATTAGTAATACTAATACATCAATAATGGTAACCGCTAAATAAGTATTAATATTTAATTATTTATGACTCTAAAGCCATAAATTAAATTGATTTAAGAGACCATAAAAGATTTAGAGTATTAATAAAGTTTAAATTGTTAATACCAAGAATAAAATAAAATTTATTTGGGATGCACACAAATAAAAATAATTCTATTGCCTACGACATAGTTACACGAAACTCACCATCTGATGTTCGCCATAACATGCAAAACAGATAAAAATTTCAATATTATTAAGATATACTTTATTTATTCGTTGAAAGTGGTTCTAATACTAATAAGCAAATTATATGTTGCTTAAATTGTAAAATATTACCTGTTCTTTAAGCCATTGAGAGTGTGGTCTGGATTGAGCTATTTTGGATTTCAGCTCAATGTCCTGGATTACAGTTTTTTCTTGGGTGTCCACCAACAACATTCTTCCAGGTTTTAGGCGACTTTTTAGGGTTACTTTAGCTGGATCCACGTCATAAACGCCAACCTAAGAAGATAAATAAAAAAATAATTGTGACAAGATTAAAAGTATTTTTTTTACCTCGCTGGCCATAACCATAATGTTATCGCTGGTAATATAGAACCTTGAGGGACGCAAACCATTACGATCCAAAGTTGCTCCAATGAACCTTCCGTCTGTGAAGGAAATTAAGGCTGGACCATCCCATGGTTCCATGGTACAAGCGGCCCAGTGGTAATAGTCGCGTTTTTCTTCGGACATTGTCGGGTCGTTCTGCCATGCTTCTGGCACCATTGTCATAACAGCCTATAAAACAGATTATTTTGTATTTTTTTGATATTTAAATTTGAACTTGTGCCCGTTTTCTATGACATACGCATTAACTGAATTTCGTAAATATTGCATCCAAAGGCTAGTTAACCTTTACCGAGTAATAAAAGCATTTATAGGCGTCGCTTCCAGAAAAAAAAACGGCGAGTGACATAACGCTCTTTTATCATCATTTTTTTAAGCAGCAAATACTGTTACCTGTTACCTTTTCAATAGGTAAAATTAAAATTTTCCATTTTTTTGTACCTAACAGATACCATGATTTCTGACAAAAGGTTTTTTGCCTTTTTCTCAGTTTTAATCGAAATGCAGTTAATGGTTCTTTTACTTTGGACGTAAGACAAAAAATACCTATATAATAGGTAGGTATTCTTTATTTACCTCTGGAAGATTTCTGTTTCCAGCATGAACTAAGAATTCCAGTACACAATCAGCGGAACCACTGTCAGATAAATTTGGTTCTACTACAGGATATAGATTCTTGAGGTTGTCGCCGAAGCTTTCATTCTTCATCACACCCTCCCGGGCCTTCATGTAGTTTACATTTCCTCTTAACGTGTTAATTTCTCCGTTGTGTGCCAACATCCTAAAGAAAATAAATAAGAATGGTATTTTATAAATTGAAATAATTCAACAATATTGATATTATTAATTATAAATAATATTATATATATGTATATATATATATATTTTTTTTTTTTGTTAATAGTTAACAAAATTTAATAGAGAAATGTCATCTATGCATAAACTGAAACATCATTCAATGCTTATTCCAATATGCAAAAACTTTATTTTATACATTTTAATGCTTAAATTTTAGAGGCCATTGGGCAAGTCTATTTTTGAAAATATTCACTTATGGCAAAAATAAAACTTTACTGTACACATGACAATTTTGAAATTTCAAAATTGGTTGCTCTAGAGCAATAATAAATAATAGATATATTAATTTTAAAATATGCATTCCTAGTGAGAGACCACTTACCTTAAAGGATGAGCCCTCTCCCAACTGGGGAAAGTGTTTGTAGAGAACCTGGTATGCACCAACGCCAAGTAAGTGTCATACGCTGGATCGGCAAGGTCCGGGAAATAGGTCCATAGCTGATCTGACGTCAGTTGACCCTTGTATACCACTGTTCTACGACTCAAAGAGCAAATGTAGAACCTTTTACCTGGAGCTGGGATTACATGGCTTGCACGTTTGCGGAGGACGAAGAATTTCTTGTCCAATTCCTCTTCCGGGATTTTTGTCTTAAGGGCCACAAAGACCTAAAAGGAAATTACATAGGTAACACTGTGCTCGAATCGGAAACTTTTTTTCTAACAAGCAGGGCACCCAGGGGGATTACCTAATTCGAATACGCTAAATCCAATGGTACTAGTCGCTTTTTTATGTTGCTCTTGTTTTCGAGATATTTTAGATTTAAATTGTAGATTCAAGCATCACAAAAAAAAATTCTCATTTTAAAACCATTTACTGATTATAAATTGATAAAAATCGATGGAATAAATGTATAGGGTCAGTCCATATCAAATCAACCAAAGGTTTTTCCCTCACCATCTCCGATTTTAATAATTTTTGGTAAATTTGTTTACCTCACTAAAAAACTCAAAAATCCCAAATTTGAATTTTTTTCGATAGGTGGTTTTTGTTTTATTGATTTTTGAAAATCAAAAAATTACCGATTTGGGTCTTGCAAGTACTTACAAATATAGCGATATCTCGTAAACTATTAAACGTAGAAAGGTGAGTGATGGCTTATTTTAAAGGCCTATTAGATACCTTTTTTTTGATATATCACATGACCTAAATTTCTTTAAAAAAAAAAAAATTTAATTTCGAAAAAAAATTTTTTTTTTAAATCTCAAAAATACCTTTTTTTGTTTTTTTCAAAAATATATATATTTTTTGTGCACATTTTGATAAGCTATGTACAAAATTTCAAGATGGACACTCAACGGGTTCATGGTGAAAAAAAATTATAAAGGAACTCACTAACATACAAAATAATATTTATGGGTCATTTTACTCCAAATAGTTGATGAGTTTGATTTTGTACCTTTGATTTTTTTCACTTTTTTGCAGCCGCACGGTGGGCTGGGATACAAATCTAACTGGACAAAATTAGTTAACTCATAATCACGGCATTTTTTGGTCACAAGTTACGTCATATTCACCCTTAACATCACGTCAAAATCACGTCTTTAAAACGGACAAATGTCACAGGCCGTTGACGTAATATTAGGACGTACAAACAACGTCATTTGAAGACGTCTATATGCCGTAAGTACTGAGGTCTTAAAGACGTACAATATTTGTCATTTATTGTAATAAATAAAACAAGGAAATATATTATAAATGTCATATATTATAAAATATAAATAAATAAAATATAAATTCTAAATAACAAACTTAATAGAGTAGACCTATCCCATAAATCGAACATTATGGATAGCTCGAACTATCATTGGCTTCCTCACCATTTTTTAATGCCTTGTCATATTTGCACTGTTGTTTATAAGGTGGCCAGTAAACTTCTTTTTTGCGAGGAGTTAGCCACTTTGTATTGATAGCGGAAATTCCCCCGTCACCACGTACGTTCGTCATGTGCAAACTCAACTACGGCTTACATCTTTTAAACACCTAGTATAGGTATAGGTAAATAAATTAAGAATGATTTAATAATTATGTAAAACCTACCTATTGATCCGCAGTTACTGCACTTAATTGTAGATTTGCACAACAGTTATTAATTAACTTAATTTAACCGAATAACAGAATAGACGCCACCGCGGTAGTGCACCGTTGCAAAGCATGGACGGTTAGAAATGATAAAGCAATCGCAGCCTGCCACTAAAGTCAGCTGATCTCACAGTGGTCAGCTGACTGTGAATCACAGTCTGTGATTGGTGGTATCGAGCACGGCGTTCTTTACTTCCCACCATGTATCGACACTTCACAAGTTACACAAATTTTTGTCTGTTTTTTTATTCGGAATAATATAAATACCTATATAGGTATTGACAGCAATGAAATTGTAAAACTAAATTAAGAATTAAAAAATACTTTGTTTAAAATAGTATTTCGTTATTGTCTTGTAGGATAATTATTTGTTCATAGACGGATTTGCGTGTCATCGATGATAGGGATTTTTTTTATTTTTTCTGATAAAAAAATAAGTTTTGATCTACAAAAAAATTGGGATTTTATCTACAGGGTGTTCAAAAATTAGGTAGTACGATCTATACCTACTACGTACGTATTATTATATATTTATTACGTGATATAAAATCACCTATTGAAAACGTCAGAAAGACGCAACATAAAAACATCTAAATGACGTCGGAAATGTGACGTCATAAACCCGTCTTTTATTGGTCATGTGACGTCGCCGACGAAAGGTGACCTTAAAATGTCGTCCTAATGACGTAACCTTGCTAGCTGGGTTACTCCCTCAAAAATTAGCAAAGCCATATTAACCGCATATTTAACTTAAATAAAAATAAAAAATATTTTAATAGTGCTTTGCTAATTTTTGAGGGAGTAATTAATTTTTTCCAGTTAGATTTGTATCCCAGCCCAGCGTGCGGCTGAACAAAAGTGAAAAAATCAAAGGTCCAAAATAAAAATCAACTATTTGGAGTGAAATTACCATAAATATTAATTTTTTGTATGTTAGTGAGTTCCGTTATATTTTTTTTCACCATGAACCCGTTGAGTGTCCATCTTGAAATTTTGTACATAGCTTAACAAAATGTGCACAAAAAATATATATTTTTTTGAAAAAAATTAAAAAAGGTATTTTTGAGATTTAAAAAAAATATTTTTTTTCAAAATTTGCATTTTTTTTTTGAAAAATTATAGGTCATGTGACATATCATAAAAAATGTATATAAAAGACCTTCAAAACAAGCTATTATTCAATTTTTTATTTTTAGTAGTTTTCGAGATATAGCAATTTTTGTAAGTGCCTGCAAGACCAAAATCGGCAATTTTTTGATTTTCAAAAATCAATAAAACAAAAACTACTCGTCAAAAAAAATTAAAATTTGGGGTTTATGAGTTTTTTGATGGGTAGATTAAGTGTAATAAAAATTATCAAAATCGGAGATGGTGAGGGAAAAAAGTGACCTTTTTTTGGTTGATTTGATATGGACTCACCCTATAGACAGATACATGTTGAAAAGAAAATGTTGAAAAAAAATAATTTGGTCGATTTTGAAGTGTTTTTTATGATTTTTTTTTTCTCAAAAAATGTACAGTTTTCATAATTTCATATAAATACAGTATTAATCATACTAAAATGTTTGGAATACGGCCCTGATTGCAGAGTCGTCTTTCTTATGTTTTTTATTAATGATAACCTCCAAGAATTATAATGCAAAAAGAAACATTGTTTATACACACTGTTTATATAAACAACGATCGGCAACGGAGCTCACTTTAAATTTTAAACAATTACAGATTATATGGTAACCATAGATACCGTCAACCCACCCGTTACAGGTTTCTTGATACAATATAATATTTAAAATTTTAGAAATTGTTAAATATAAAAAAGTTATTAACCTTTCAAGTTAGCCTAATTGGCCCTGGGTTTTCTCAGGAGATTTGTTCAAAAATGTTAAAGAGTTGACATGGAATCTTTTAAAGAATATTTTAAGATTCCAAAAATTTTAATCTCATATTCGCAAACCTAATAAAAAAAGTTATAGGCTATTTTTGATTGACGCGCATTTGTCAAGTTTTAACAAAAAAAAATTAATAACCCTAAAACTATTCACTTTAGGTACCTACAGTAAAATTTAAAAATGTAAAAATATATGGGGTGTTTTATTTAAAATAACAAAGTTGATCTCACTCACCGAATAAGCCGGAAGTAGCATTTTGTTTAAAATATTTTAGAAAAATATACTTAAATGGATTATAAACGCTTTTAAAATTTCAAAGCGCTATCTGTTTTCACAAATTTAAATTCAATAAATGATCTAAAAATGGAAAAATAATGTTTTTTTTGTGGTTCTTGGGTCTACAATTTATATCTAAAATATCTCGAAAACCAGAGCTAACCTAAAAAATCGATTAACACCATTATATTCAGCGTACTCAAATTAGGTAATCCACTTGGTGCCCCGCTTGTTAGATTTTTTAACTAGCACAGTGTAATTAATAAAGTTGGATCCAGAGATTTTATTCGTGAGATATAAAATGAACCAGTGACGCCTATCCAAATTCAATTAGTCATTCAATTATTAATTAAGTATTTTCCCATTTTTAGGCCTTTCCTATAATAATATTTTTTAATATTCCCAATTGGTATATCAAAATTAACATCAACTGTGGACATTTCATTAAAAATATATTTGTTTAAAATTAACTTTCAGAATTAAGAAAAACATAACTTTTAAATCTAAGAAAAAATAAAAAATATAAACGTTTTCTGTGTTTTATTTATTTTCTCTTCAATCGGTAAGCTTCAAAAATGATTCGGGTTAGGTTATTTATGGCGTAGGCCATAGAAAAATCATTATTTAAATAATTTTTTATATTTGACTTAATGACTTAATAAACTATTAAGAACTACAAGGTATTCCACGCACTAACACTGGATTCTTGAGTCAATGACTCTGTTAATTGTGGTCTGCCCAATGACTATACCAAGTTATAGATGAGGTTCTCTAATTGGAAAATATAAAAAAATACATTTTTTTTTATTATAAGTTCATGCATTATAATCTGCCAATTTAACACTTAAAAGCGTTCATAAAACGGTCTTTATAGCTATAATGCTGTAGTCGTCTAGGTACCTGACAATAATATCAATTGATATCAATTTTTCTATGCAATAGGACTATACTCTAGAGCAGCGGTTCTTAACCTCTTTGGCTGGCGACCCACAATTCAAAAATATTAGAAGCTCGCGACCTAATAAAAAATAAAATCATCAATTTTCTACATTTTTTTAATTTAAAGTAAGGATGCAGTGATTACGGCGCGCTTTTTTAAAAAGTCCCGCAAGTCCCGCGACCCATCTCGATATGGCCCGCGACCCAAATTTGGGTCGCGACCCGAGCATAAGAAACGATGCTCTAGAGTATACTCCTATTGCATAATTTTGACATTATTTGGGGTTTTCATTATATAATTGCATACATTATAACCGCGCCGCTAAATAACGGGAATAATGAATTAGGTATCCACGACGCTATGCGACTTTATGGCGTTTTAGTCACAGGCAGTTAGTTTTTTGTTAGTTGAAAGTTTTCAAATGTAAAGCAATTGTCAAAATAAAGCGACTATAATGATATTTAAAAAATGAGATTAGAACAGTCTGACAGAAGTCAGAGTTTATTTATTTCTAAAATTATTTAATTTTTTTGTTCGCCGTAAAAATATATATAATAAAATTGGATTTACAAATTTCTCTAGACACTCGTTTATTAAAGACTTGTCACTAAAATGCTGTTTATCAAATCAATTATGTTAAATTAAATTATAATAGTTAAATAAATGTCCGCTTGGATTATAATCCCAGATAGCACAAAGAAGTACTAAAAACGTCCTGAGTATATCTTGTATCAGACATTAGTAAGTTCCGAGTACGTCCGAATCAGGTCCTGAACCTTCCCCAGGACGTTCCAGGGACATCCGATGTTACCAAATCGTCGGTCCCCAGAACGTCCTAAGAAAGACATCCTCTGGCCATCCTGAAATGCTTTATTGGGGACTAATGGACAAGCTTTACAGAATTGAAGAGTGGTATTCCCAAAGGCCCAGACAGCAATATGACGTCTTAATTAAGACTTATTTTAAATGGATTTTATTAAAATCATTTTAATAATTTGTTCGTATTCGCTTATTTTAGGAATTGCGATTACTTCGTCTCACTTTTGTTTAAATTTAAAGCGTGCTCTTCACCGGCACCGATAGACGGCCTGTTACCCTCTTTTGGAGCTCGTCAGTATCGGGTAGCCGTTTACCTAGGTCCAAGACCGTTTGGTACATAGAAAAACCATATGGTTTGGTATGAAGCACGTTCTAAATTCTACTTCGCCCCTTCTTATATCAAACACAAGCAGTTACAGCGGTGAGAAGAAAGAATCGCATTAAAATGTCATAAATGTGACGTCTCCATGATGACGTCTTAAAAAGTTAATAATATGTACAAAAAAACTCATACAGCTATATTGTGGCTGTGTGAATAAAACTTTTCCGTCAATGTCAAGCTGACATCGAGCTTTGTCACATCCATTATGACTTTTTTAACATTTTTAACCAAACAATGCATAAGAACTCTGGCAAGCCATTGAAGCCATTTGGAACGAGATAAAGCAAGACGGCGACTTCCATGCTTTGCCGTTTGCGGGCAGTAATTGACAAGAACAGAGGGATGACGAAATATTAATTTTTTTTCAAACTTCAACCTAACTTTGTATTTAATTTTAGACCTTTCAAATGTGACGTATCATGTTAAAAGCCATAATTACTCCAACGAAATGATGAAAATCAGGAACACTAGATTTTTAAGCTGTATGAGTTTTTTTGTTAGCGATAGTACGTCCTTGGGACGTACCCAGTATATCCGCTATAATTTTCCCAAATAAGTAAGAGACTGGACGTACCCAAAACTTCCGATATAGGTCTAGGACGTTCGGACCTATGTGGGACCCGAAATGGACGTCCTGGGTACCTCTTGTGCTATCTGGGATGTAATTAAACATGTGCTGACAGGCCCGTAGCCAGCCTGGCATGTTGGGCAAAATAAACTGCTCGTCATAAAAATCGACGCACCTAGTTTTTTGGAAAATATTTGAAAGCTCGTTATTAAAAAATTACTGAATCGATTTTGAAAATCTTTGGAAATTCTGAATAGCTGATTTTTTGACTCTTATGTCAAATTTTGGAAATACGATATTTTGCACATAGCATTATAAGTAAGGTAATCCCTCGGAACGTTTTCGAGATTTTGTAAATATCGAGGCTTACTACGATTATATGCCAATTTTTCGAAAATTGTCGTTATTTCCCAGTTTAGTCCAAAAAATGAGCAATAATGGATTCTTTGACTTACGTCTAATTTTGAGAATAAGATATTGTGCACATAGCATTATACTACAGGGTGTCTGGATGTTTTTTTCAAAAATTCCAAATCCCCATTTCCTAATAACAGTTAGATAACCCCTCGGGACATTTTCGAGATGTTGTGGATATCTTGGCTAACTACGATTATACGGCAATTTTTCGAAAATTCACGTTATTCTTCGTTTTAGTCCAAAAATGAGCAGTAGTTGATTTTTTGACTCTTATGTCTAATTTTGGGAATACGATATTATGCACATAGCATGATACTACAGATGTTTTTTTCCAAAATTCCAAATCCCCATTCACAGGGCAGTTGACCTTGATAGTCCTAATACCCCTTCCTAATAACAGTTAGGTAATCCCTTGGGTCGTTTTCGAGATTTTGTGGATATCGTGGCTAGGATTATATAGAATTTTTTTTGAAAATTCTCCTTTTTTAACACCCTGTAGTATCATGCTATGTGCACATTATCGTATTTCCAAAATTAGACATAAGAGTCAAAGAATCAAGTATTGCTCAATTTTTGGACTAAAATGAAGAATGTGAATTTTCAAAACATTGCAGTATAATCGTAGTTAGCCAAGATATCCACAAAATTTCGAAAACGTCCCGAGGGATAACCTAACTGTTATTAGGAAGGGGTATTACGACTATCAAGCTAAACATCCCTTTTTTTAACACACTGTAGTATAATGCTATGTGCACAATATCGTATTCTCAAAATTAGACGTAAGCTATTGCTCATTTTTTGGACTAAACTGGGAAATAACGACAATTTTCGAAAAATTGGCATATAATCGTAGTAAGCCGCGATATTCACAAAATCTCGAAAACGTTCCGAGGGATTGCCTTACTTATAGGTATTAGGGAGGGGTATTACGACTACCAAACTCAACTGCCTCATGAATGGGAATAACTTGAAATTTCGGAAAAAATACATCTCTTCTTTTAATAGTATAATGCTATGTGCAAAATATCGTATTCCCAAAATTAGACATAAGAATTAAAGAATCAGCTATTCAGAATTTTCAAAGATTTTTAAAATCGATTCAGTAATTTTCCAATAACGAGGTTTCAAATATTTTCCAAAAAACTAGGTGCGTCGATTTTTATGACGAGCAGTTTAGTTGAAATATTCTCACAAAAATGCTTTTTGAATTATAAAACTGATTTTATGAAATAATTTTTACTTTTGGACTTCTACTGTTCTTAACCTCACCGATAAAATTATTGTAACTGCAGTTACTTTTATTATAATTATTATTTTTATCTGAAATAGAACGGAAATATTTTCATACCTGTCTCATAAATGGTTCAGAGTTTTTAGCGACCGTACCTATGGCGGTATTGTTGGTTGGTACGGTACGCCACGCCAACACTGACATACCCAGCTCCTCTGCCAAAGCGGCGAATTTTGTTTCGGACTCCTGGTGATGAAGTTTGTCCAAGAAGAAGATGCCGGTGGCGTATTCTCCGAACGGGGGAAGTTCGATATTTTGCTCATCCCTGAAAACCAAACAAAAAAACAGTTAGATTTAGTTCTAAATTTTAGAAGTTTGAACTTTGTACAAACATTTGGTATACATACTACCAAAACGGCAAAACAAATACCTACCTATTCAATTTTGTAAACATTCTTAAATTAAGTCTTAAAAACTTTTTTATACGATACGATATGTATACGAATGTTTAATTATAATATATAAGTGTATAAGAACGGCTTTATAGAACTAGAGGCGAAAATTACCAGTACCTATGAGCTTGTTAATTGCAAATTCCTCTAAAATAATAGAACAAGATAATGACCTAAAAGAGCAGCAAAAACTACGAACTTGTTTAAAAAACACTGCTGCTTGCTTCCATGAACCAACTGTACAGTAAGTTTAAATCTTTAACCATTCTAAACTCCAATCAATGTTAAAAATCAGATTCTGACTTACCTTATGTTAAATTGTTTAAAAAAGGTCTTACCCTAAAACCGAAAAATACAACTAAAGACTCTGTAGTACAGAGTGTTTCTAAAATACACAATGGAAAAATGCATGATAACTTTTGGAAAATGTTCTTTTCTCTTAGCAAAATACCCAAACCTCAAAAAAGTCAATAGTCCAGTAAGGCTTTTAGGCGTACATCTGCAAACATTTTGTTCAACAGTGAAATGAGCGTTGATGAGCTTAAGCGTCAAATTGGGTGAAAATCTTTTGGAGTAGCTGCTGGTAATGTTAAAGGCAACAAACAACAAATTGAAGTTTGTAAATTAAGTTCCAAAGTTGTAGTTAAGTTCCAGCTTTCAAATCAGTAATAACCAGATCTTGAATCTTCTGGGTTTTGTTTAAAAGTATATATAAGTTTTTTAAAATTTGAATAATATCAAGTTAAATAGCCAATACTGCCCTACTATGAAGAAAGGCAGTAACTGCAAAAAAATGCAAAATGCGTTTTCTTGTGCTATGGTAAAGCTATGGACATTTTGTAACCGAATTCAACACAGAAATGAAGTCAAATATCTCATAAGTTAAAAAAATCAATTAAATACCTACTGCTTTTTATAAAAATGTAGTTTATGCTAATTTTCCACAAATTTCTTGTTTAGCAGTTACTGCCTTTCTCCATAGTAGGGCAGAATATTTATATCCAATGCAGTAAAAACTTTTTGGTTTATTTAAATAAGATCCAAATACTCCAGAGTACCTGGTAAAAAATCTAATGTATACATTATTTTAACTCTAAAATCCAATCTTATCTATTTTAATCTAGCTAACTCTTGTGTTACTCTAAATTAAATATGTTTTACACTATTTAGTAATAATGTAACTCTATTTCTAATATAAAAATATTTACTAAGATATTATTATTATTACTTAATCAATTAAATTTTAACTTTAACTTATAGAATCATTACTAGCCCTGATACATGGTAAAGTTGTATCTAAAGATCTCTCATTAAACTCCTAATAAGTATTTATTTTAACTATGCAATTTGTTAATTTAACTCTAGTTTAACGAGGTGATTCACTTTCGGGTAATTCTCCCTTCACTCTACTAGCGTGAATTTTTTCACTGTTTTATTGAAATTTGGCAGTGTTGTCAGTGATGTGTGCATTATGGGTAAGTACATTATTATAATAAGTATAATTGTTTTATTTGTCTTTGGGGTCAATTAAATATCTATATGTATTAAAACACTATTTACTAGACAAGAATTTAAGAACACGTTAACATGTTGCAAAGATATAAATAAAACAATCATTAATAATAAAATGACTTAAAATCTTGTACCTATGTAATTAGGTACCACATTTTTCCTATAATAGTATTTTATGCATCAAGTTTGATAAACGCCATTTAAGGCACAAATTTAATTTATTTATGTAATTAGGTACCACATTTTTCCTATAATAGTATTTTATGCATCAAGTTTGATAAACGCCATTTTAGACACAAATTTAATTTAATTTAATAAATAGAAAAGTTTATAAACGAGTTGCATAGGTACTATACTTTTTCTATGACAATTATTTATTATTATCTAAAAATGATTTAAATTATTCATTCCAAGACCAACTCCACCGTTAAGCACACATTACAGACATGGAACGTTAGGCGTACTTAAATGAACACACACAAAAGGGGTTCTGGGGGGGGGGGAAATCAAAACAAACGCAATGGAAGTATCGGACGTATTTAACGTCAAAATCGAAATACAACACGAACAGGGAGGAACAGATACATACGAACAGAAAGTACACCAATAAGGATAGGCTCTAGCAGCGTACTAACCCACCTACCCTCATTCATTAATCCCAATTGAATTAGTCCGAGAGCCAGCGACAAAAAAACTCGATGATCGTATTCCGGCTGAAAAAATTTCAGAATACTCGAAAAAGTTTGTACATGACACATTTCGGTGCCTGGCAGCTCAAAGCGGTTGCGTTTTTTAAATAAAAAATTTTTATTGGTTAATTTTTGACACAATATCCGTACAATCGTATTCCGATTGAAAATTTGAGAAAACGTTGGAAAAACATTCTACATTATGCATTCGGGTGCCTGCCAACGAAAATCGGTTGCCAAGTCCCGCCTGCCAATTAAAAAAGTGTCAATTTTTTTTTCAAAATCCGGATTATCGCGTTCCGCTTGAAAATTTAATAGAATGTAATTGAAGGCATGACAAAATCATTTGTAAGTGCCTGCCAAGTCGGAGCCGTTGCTTTAAGGTGCCTGCCAGCCTCCAAAGTGAGCGCTGCATCGCCGTCCGGCCTCAGCGGTCGCTGGTGGCTCGATGCACTTTGTCGGGCTTTTATGTTTATATCGTTTTTGTAACGTATACATGTAACGTATATATATATACATATATATATATATATATATATATATATATATATTAGGGTGGTCCATATTTTGAGAAATTTTGAATTTTTTTGCTCTCAGGGGTTCAAAGGGTTCGAAATAAATAAAAAAAAAATATTTTCCATATATATATATATATATATATTAGGGTGGTCCATATTTTGAGAAATTTTGAATTTTTTTGCTCTCAGGGGTTCAAAGGGTTCGAAATAAATAAAAAAAAATATTTTCCAAGTTTCAAGTTCCTAACATAATATTAACCCGTGCCGCATTGCAGTTTATGTTTCCTATGTAAATAACATGGTGTTTTGAATAATTAATTATTTATTCCGGCCAAAGTAACTGTTCAAAAAATTTGAAACTTGTCAGAATTTAACCTTATAATAGTAGCTATTAATTAGAATTTTAACGGATTTTAGCAATGATATTGTTAGAGTTTCATCTATATGATTTTTATTAAATTTAAGAAAATCATTCTCAAAATATGGACCACCCTAATATATATATATATAATATATACGTTACATGTATACGTTACAAAAACGATATAAACATAAAAGCCCGACAAAGTGCATCGAGCCACCAGCGACCGCTGAGGCCGGACGGCGATTCAGCGCTCACTTTGGAGGCTGGCATGCACCTTAAAGCAACGGCTCCGACTTGGCAGGCACTTACAAATGATTTTGTCATGCCTTCAATTACATTCTATTAAATTTTCAAGCGGAACGCGATAATCCGGATTTTGAAAAAAAAATTGACACTTTTTTAATTGGCAGGCGGGACTTGGCAACCGATTTTCGTTGGCAGGCACCCGAATGCATAATGTAGAATGTTTTTCCAACGTTTTCTCAAATTTTCAATCGGAATACGATTGTACGGATATTGTGTCAAAAATTAACCAATAAAATTTTTTTATTTAAAAAACGCAACCGCTTTGAGCTGCCAGGCACCGAAATGTGTCATGTACAAACTTTTTCGGCTGAAATTTTTTCAGCCGGAATACGATCATCGAGTTTTTTTGTCGCTGGCTCTCGGACTAAATGGGGTCATTACTAAAGCCCTGGTTGACGAGGATTCTGGATTGTACTTAGTTTTGGGTCAGTTCAATGTCCTCTGAAAACCAATACATTTCCCTCCTTGTCCCGCTCTCCTCTAGCCTAAATTGGGCGTATGGTCGGCCCGGCGACAAAATTCCGGGAATGGCCTTAACCATCGACTTGTCATCCACGACCTCCTAGGGGAGTGCTACGAGCCGGCGTAAAAATTTGGATCCAACAAACAGGTCCCAGTAAGCACAAGCTAGCCGGCCCGCATACGACCCGAATACGTTTTGCCGAATCGGCCGCGTGCGGCCCGACACATGTATTTGTTCCGGCGTGTAGACCGGGCATGTCCGCCTGGCCGAATGTCGGCTATGTTTACTCGGCCGAGTGTAGGCTGTGTATAGTTGCCCGAGTGCCGGCCACAACAGCCTGACAATTCAAAAAAAGCCTTCAGACGTCCTGGATAGGTATATCCTATAGGTTTAACACACTCGACTATAGCTATAGCCATTATTCGTTACTGAGCAGATGAGGATGGAGATGGGGACTTCAAACAATTAATGTACAGCTATGCCATTACAGACGCACACTTCCAACTGTTTAGTGTGTTAAGTACCTTTGTACCTATTTTTTAATAAACTTATTATAAATTTAAATTATTTGTTGTATTTCACCCTTTCCCTTTGCCTTTCCACTAAATATAGGTATTTAAATAAACTATAACAATGAATTATTTAATCTATTTTTTGTTAATATATTTTTATCATAGAACAAATTTAACACTAAAATGTGTAAATTTGTCCCTAGATTAGTAATATTATATTATTATATAAGAGATAATGCAGGCTATTAGGCGAGAGACGTAAATCATCCGAGTAAATAATGCGCATTATTTCGAGTGAAATACTATGATTTTTTTACTCCAATTAAGTAATTTTTATTGATAACAAAATTTATTATAACCTCACTTTTTCCTAATTTTAAAGATCATTATAGTCGCCCCTCGTATATATAAACAAATCTGACATCTGTTAACCTTACATTTTCCTAATTTAAAACCCGATTGGTTTAAATAACAGTGAATATTAAAATCAGCCAATCACTGATGCCTAA